CCACATATTTTAGTGTACTTTAAATATCAGGAATTAAAATCAAATGTTATTTAATAGCAATAAAATATAAAAGTAGGATAGACATTTAAATATTCAACAATAACGTGGTCACATTTATATCTAAAATTATGAAATATCACAACTATGAGCATTTAATAAGTATGTAAGTATATAAAATTTCTATGAAAAACTATACTTTCTCTTGGTTACTGATATACCCTTGCTGAAAACAATTTGGTGGTTAGGTATAAGAAACTGAAATAAAAGCTATGATAATATGAAAATGACAACTTAATCCAATACTTCTTATAAAAATTAGATCTTGTTACTAACAAGTGAGTAATTAACTGAACAATCATTTAGCTTTCACATTATTACTTCATTATAGCACACTAGTCACACAAACTGGTAAGTTTATAAACTAAATTTTATAAATCAAAATAAAAATTTTATGACTGAAATGCAGTTTAGCATAAATGTCAAGAGCACTGAAGTCAGACCTCCTGGCTTTAATCCAGGGTCTGCCACTGACCAAAAGGGAATATTGAGTGAGTTACTCAACCTTTGTGTCTCAACTTCTTCATCTATAAAAGGGGAATAACAGTATCTACTCTCCTAGGGTTGTGTGAGGTTTAAATGAAATGATATATGAAGGTACTTGGGAGAGTGCCCGGTACACAGTACGCTCTAGGTAAGCATCCATTATTATCACTGGTATTATTAAAGCATCTTTGGAATTATAATATTTCTGTATTAGCACTTTTTACCTTCAAGAGTTTCTCTTTCTTCCAGTTTCCTGAAAAACTAAAATGTACTATGAGAACAATATTTGAAGGAAGGCTGTGTCAGTTTTAAAACCGCCTACTGATAATTCAAATGTATATATATTACAGCTCCTTAAAGTCAGGTTAAAGTAGGGATAAAACGGGAAGCATATTCTCCCACAACTCATAACTTTTTTTTTTTACCGGTAAGGGGATTGCAACCCTCGGCATGGTTTTGTCCGCACCACACTCAGCCAGTGAGCGCACCGGCCATCCCCATATAGGATCCAAACCCGCGGCCTCAGCGCTCCCAGCGCTGCACTCTCCTGAGTGAGCCACAGGGCCGGCCCCATAACTTCTTAATACTAAATGATAGCCAAGTGATACCATTCACAAATAAAGCCCTAATCTAGTGCAGCAACAGATAAATGATTTTTGCTATTTATCCCGAAAATTCCCAAAAGAGGAAGCAAATCTTACTGAGAATATTTAGTTCAGTTTTGGACGTACTGAAGTTTGAGGTATTTATAGGATACTTAATGGATATTCCAGGAAACAGTCAGAAGTACAGACCTAAAGTTAGGAAGCTTACCCACAGAAGAGTTCAACACTCCCTTCCTTGTACTACCATGAAATTTTTCACATCCTATCTCATGACAATTATTTGTTTCTACACTCTTCTCTCCTGTTAGATTATGTTTCCTGAAGGATTTCAGGTCCTGCCATACAATAAGGGCTCAATAAGTGTTGATTTTAAAAAATACAAAAATTACAGAACGGTACAATTAAAAGGTGAATTTTATTGTTTATGTAAAGAAAACTCTGACTAAAAAATTTTTTTTCAATCTGTGGATTTTAAATAAGGATGAAATTTTCATTTGGAAGAATTCTTACAATATATAAGTAACATGTAAACAAAATCTTTCTTTTTTAATTTAATTTTCACATTAGAATTACTAAGTGAAACCAAGTTGTAAATCCTGGCATCATCTGCAGGCTTATAAACATGAAAAACTACAGCATGACAAGGCAAGAAACACATAAATGGGTAAAATAAGGAAGAGCCCTATGAAGATTCTCGAAGTGCATTTAAATTAATTAAAATTCTTCAGTTTCCTAAAATACCTGCAATCACAATTGAAAAGATATCACCCTCTAATTTACAGGCTCCTCGACTTTAATAACTTAAAAACGAAAACCTCTGTACCCTTCCAGCCAATGTTATTCAGAGCTGTGGTGGCAAATGTGCTCAGTTATATGCACTAGATAAAGGAATAGCTGCTGTCATCCCAACCCGCTACCAGTTGTTGGACTATTAATCCTTAGTTTAAAATCTGTAGAAGTATTTCCTAAAGAATGCTTTGCTGGTGGTATTTACAATCCAAATTTAAAATGAGGCAAGTTCTATCAAGGCTCTAATAGTAGAACAGACTGGCTGTCAGGCCTATATTTAACAGCAGATGATGACAATTTAATTTGTGCTTTACAACTAGATACCTTTCACTGAAACCACTCCCTAGAAATGACACCACAATACTATCATTTAGAAGGCAGGAAGCCAAGAGAAAAACAGCTCATTAATAGTGAATGGATGGGGAAGACAGTAGCAATAGTCTATTGAAAAGCAGCAATACAGACAGGCTTAAGAACTGTGAAAACAGTAGAAGTAAAGTAGAGGTTCACGAAAAAACTTTTCTGCAACACAAAATAAACACAGCAGCACTTTTTCATTTGAAATAAGCACATAAAGATTAAATGTATATTGATTGTAATTTTATACATCAAAAGACTGAAAATCTTACACAAATAGAAAATATTGGTGAATTAAAAAGGATTCCCTCAATTTGGGCCCTATTACAATGTTCTGCAAAGAAATTCACAAGGGGAAAAAAAATACCTTCAGACTATAAATGAATGTAACCATTAGGAGTAGCCTCTCTCTAAGGTCTGAAAAGAACGAAAACATACATTTCTTCCAAAGACGTAGCCAATAACAACTTTTGCATTCTGATTCCAGCTTAGGTACATTAGTCGGGAAGATGCTTGCAATAGTATTTAATAAGAAAGTGCTATATTTAGCTTTTATTTTTTCTCAGTTTTCTTAAATGGCTTTAAGTCCATCAAATGCATTATTAAGTAGAACCTCTCCTAAGTATAAGTGACAAAAGGAAATAGTACTCTACAGCTTTCTTCTTAGAGTGCTGCTTTTACAGATCCGAGGTCATCAAACTTTTTCCATAAAGAGCCATAAAGAAAATATTTTCAGATTTAGAGGCCATATAGTCTCTGTTGCAAATACTCAACTCTGGCAGGTAGCAAGAAAGCAGCAACAGACAACAGATAAATGAGCACGGCTGTGGTCCAATAAAACTTTATTTACAAAAAAAGGCAGCAAGCCCACAGCCATAGTTTGTTGAAGCCTGCCTGCCACAGATCATCTGTTTTTTATCTACTAACAAATAGACTGTTTTAATACTATGAATTTTGAAATAAGTTGTCTGGGACTTGCTTTAAAATGCTTCATTAAAAAAAGTAGAGAGTAGGGAGAAAGGTTAAATAAGACTGGCAAAACACAATTACTGTTTAAATGGATATATGGAGTTTATTATACCATTTTTTATAATTTTATGAGTTTGAAAATTTCCAAATTAATTTTCTTTTTAATTTACAAATTAAATCAATGAACCAGTTCTACAGAAAAATGGATTTCTTCACCTTACTATAAACCTTCTAAAACATGCTTAATATTCAAACATAATTAAAACATAGAAGATTCTTAATATAAAGCCACTAAACTATAATGAACAAACTTAAACTAATCCACAAAAATGTATACAAGTATAAACCCTTAAAATTTTCCATAACTTAAAATACAGGCTCACTTCATACAGCTCCTATATATTAATATGTTTAATTTATTCCGGACTTATCTAACAGAAGGTGTTAAACCAATTTTTAGTTTAGGATAAAATTTTTTAACAGAAATATATTATTTATATTAACATATAATAGATTGATTACTTTTCTAATGAATACATAAAATAATTTTATTTCTCAGTTTTAAATTTCAAGCAATAAATATTAATAGATATAACCCACCTAGACAAGTGTTCTTTAGGGTCTTCAATAATTAAGAGTGCAAAAGGATCCTCACACCAGAAAATTTGAGAACATATGACCTAAACATTTTCAATGTTGTTTAAAGTATGTTCACCAAGCAACTATTACATATAGGCCCAAACTCATTTTACCTTTGAACCGTAATCATCATATATTGGAGTTAATCCATGATAAAAGCTATCAATAAACACCCACAAGAAGAAGACACATAAACCTTCAAAACAAATATTCTTTTAAACTGCCTGACAAGTCATGAATAACATATCCACAGGAAAAAGAGTTATAATGTACTACCACCCCCATGCAGATAATTGTCTCCTAAACCAGTAATTAAAAAAAAACTAATACATGCAAACAGACATTTCTAATAAATATGCTACCTCCCATTAAATCGAGATACGTAGTCTCAGTACAAGAAGCCAAAAATAAAGCTGAATAGAGCCTGAGGAAAGAAATCTTAATGGCTACACAATTTCTCAAACACTGAATAAGTGTGTTCTTTAAATGTTCTGAGTTTTTTCCCAACATTCTGAAATACAGTGATTTCAAATATTATCAAACCCAAAAACTCAGGCTGGCCACTTAGCTTAGTTGGTTAGAGAGCAGCCTTATAACACCAAGGTCCGAGGCTCAGATCCCGGTACTGGCCAGCCACCCCCGTACCATAACCCCCAAAAAAGAAAAAAAAAAACTAAAAACTAATTTAAATTAGGTTCATAGAATTACTATGACATTTAAGAAAAAGTGAGAACTTCTCTGTGAAAACATTTCAACTATCCAAGAATATAATACGTTTCAAACGCTTCCAAATCTAAAACTAAATTAGTAATAAGCAATCCACAACATATTTGGACAAATAATAATTAGAGCAAATGTATTTACATGATTATCCATTCTATCTTTTATAACGGTGAACCAATACTCATTTTTCAAATACAGTACTACTGTAGCATTTTTAACAATTTTGCCCTTTCTGCATATTAAAGTATGCAGATTATTTCATTTTTACTTGATTAAATACAAATTATTTCCAAGTAAAGTTTTATCAATTTTATCGCTATCTTTCTTCAAAATGAATAAATTTAAAATAGTAATAGTATGCAGAGACATACTTACATCATACTCTGTAATTCTGCTGCAAAGCTTATAGACTTCCCTGTACTTCTTCCACTACTTGAAGTGGCAGTAGACATTGGGCTAGCTGCAGTATTCATCTAAATAAAAAGAAGAAATGAAGCTTACAAAATGTATTTAGCTATAAACAAATCCATGAAAAAGGAAGTAATTATAAATTACTTCAAAAAGTAGAGAAAATTTTAAATTTCTTATTTGTTTTGCATAAATCTAATTTGCTTATACTTAATATATTCTTTATTAAAATGAAATAATAAGGCGGAAAAAAAATCACTTAGTCAAGTAAGATATCAACCAATTACTCACATGAGTGATAAACATTTCAGTACCAATTTTGCAATAGGTAATGTAAGAAAAATACACATTAAACTTCTTTAATAGAGCTCAATGGTTTTTAAACTGTGTTCCAGGGAGCCCTAAGATTAGTTTGTCAATCTTAAGGGAACTCCCAGTGTTCCAAGTACACACACACCCAGTTTCACCCAGACCACCAAAACAACTCTGATTTTTCTTTTTTTATGTACAAGTTCCAAGTAAGATCTCCTTTAAAGAAAGAATTCCACGGATGTATGATATAAAATTAGAAAAGTAAAGCATAATCAATTACCATTTGAACAAAAGCCTAAAACACAAATAATAGAAATAAAAGTCAAGCAGCAGAAGTACCGTGATTTTTATAATCTATGGATAAATAACTCATTCAATGTAAAATGTGACTTTTTTTCCCAATGAAAATTGGTACATGAGAAAACTAGATGCCAATCCTAATGTATGCCACTTTATTTAATGCATGTGGCATTGTGAACAAGAATTAGTAAACAAGAATTAGTCAAACTAACATTAAAAGAAAATCATGAAAGTAGGTAAAGCTTCAACTATTATACAGTAAGTGCTCAATAAATGTTACTTATTATTTCATGTTTGTGTAAATTTCACAATACTATAATTTTCCTTAAGAAAACTTTGCAGATTCTAAAGAACAAATTTAGAATATATATAATAAAACAAAGCAGTATAGAGAACTTTAAGTACAGTAAACGAATTAAAGAGGGCAGGTTCTAGAGTTACACTGCCTAGTGAGTCCCAGCTCTGCTACTTTGACAGGACTTTGAGCAATTTACTTAAACCTCTCTGTGCTTCAGTTTCATCTATAAAATGGGAATAATAATCCCATGCTCTTAGGGTTGTTGTGAGAGCTGATACAAAGATTCAGAACAGTACTTAGTACATGGTAAGCACACAATAAATGTTAGTTAGCTATTATAATAAAGCGAAAGATCTTCAGAACTCCCTTTTCTTGATTTGCTAAAAGCTTTTATATGAATTTAGATTTCCTTATTTCACAATCACTCAAGTTTAAAAACTTGAATATTTTCATTAAAAGACCTCAATGCAATTCAACAAATATTAAGGAGTTTCCCTACAAAATAAGTTCAGTTTTCACTATTGACATCACTACCACTACTAGTCACTCTGGTTTGAAACCTCGGTCGTTATATTTGAATCCTCGTGCACCCTCTAATTTGTAAGAAGCCAAGTAAATTCTATTTCATGTTCTCACTTCCTTCCCTTCTTGTTCTACTGTTTGGCCCTCTGTGAACTCTTATCTACATATCTCTCTCCATCTGGGTTCTTTCTACACACTGCTACCAAATTTATTTATCAACTTAATATATCCCTCTAACCGGACCACTCCTGTGGGTAATGATAAAACCAATAAAGGGAAACTGAACCAGGATCACTCACCAAGGGTTGAGATGAAAGGGCTGGGCTCTGTGATAGAAGGCTGGAAAAAAAGCTACTAAAGACCACTGCCTGAGATAGGCCTTATATGAAGCTTTTGAGAATGCAACAGTACAAAGATCTAAGATAAGTAGCACACTAGCTGGGTGACTAGATCTGTAATATCCCAACATCCCTCTGGTCTAGCCTGAGGGGCCTGAAGGCCCTGAGGGCCAGGCCAAAACTGCTAGACAGAGAATGCAAGAGCAGAGAAAGAGAAGAGAAAAAGTTCCACTCAAATTGAGCCTGAAAACCAAAATTCTAAAGCACATAAAGATCCTAATGCTAAGAAAGACCATCACTTTTTTTAAGCCTAGATTTGTCCATTTTTTTCACAAAGACATTTGGAATAAGTACTTTTTTCTACAAAAGATATAGGAAAAGAAACATGACCATTTGAAACCTGGGTTTTAAAAAAATCATATGGGCCGGCCCGGTGGCGCACTGCTATAGTGCACCGCTTGAGAGCGCGGCGGCGCTCCCGCCGAGGGTTCAGATCCCATGTGGAGACCGGTTCCCGCTCACTGGCTGAGCGCGGTGCGGATGCAACACCGAGGGTTGCGATCCTGTTGCCGGTCCCCGGTACGGGTGCGACACCGAGGGTTGTGAACCCATTACCGGTCAGTAAAAAAGACAAAAAGGAAAAAAAAAATCATATCACCAGTCCAAGGTGGGAGAAAACATATAGAAACCAAGGACTTCCACAAACAGTCCTGCTGAACCTGGGCAAAGTGCTACAAAAACGAGTCTGGATTTCTCAAAGACCTCAGAAAATGTTCCCTTGTTGTCCCAAAAGAAGGCTGACAGAGATATCTCGGAGAAAATGTTAAACTCAAAGATTATATATTAACCCCAGCCTCCAAAAAGTTATGATCTGAGTTACTCATGTCAGATTGGACAGACATGCCACTCTGTAGGATTATCTTATGTCCAATGTCCCGACACACTGCTGGAGCAATCTGCTCCTTTTTCATTTTCATATCCAGTCACCCTATTACTCTCTGAAGAGATATTTCATAAAGTAAATTCGTATTAAAACCACAGCATTCTTCAGTTGTCTTCCTACTGCTAATGTTTCACATCAAGGGTATTTAATGGTAAGAGGTAAAGGGTCCCAGTCCTAGTTTATTATAACCATGATCATCCTTTCACAGTCAAGTTAATTAATTTTTAAATCAAACAGGTGAGCAACATTTTTCTTGACATGAAGAGCTGACTAGACTCTTTAAAATAATTATTTTCCGTACCCACATTTTGTTCGATGGTTTAGATAATTAACTTCTTTAGACATTAACTTCTTTACACATCAAAGTCCTATCATTCCAATGCCTTATTTCCTTTCTTCCAGACATTAAAATAAAAAAAAAAAAGTCTGTTAAAAGCAGAAGCACTCAAGTCAATTTTCTCTAATAAATACAGTTAACATGGAACTGAAAACCTACTGTAATCTTCTCAATGGGTTAATGTCCTGCAGTTGTTTCAGCTTTCAATTGAAATGCAGCTGTTTGCCATATTTTACAAAATGAATTCAGATGTGCACATTGGAACCTAGATTATTTCAACATGCCACAGTTTAAATGTGAACCCAAAGAGTAAGTTCATTTCTGATTAATACTATTTTAACCTGATCGTTAAGCCAATAGCTAATACTATGTCACACCTTTTAAAATTCTGTTCCAGAGATGAAAAATTGGCATTTATCTTTTAATTTGAAACAGTGGAAGTTAAAGATATACCCCTTTCCTCAGAAAATACTACCAAAAAAAAGTTACAATTGTAGTAAAGTTACATATCACAAAAAGTGAATTAAACAAAATACAGCTGATATTTTTGGTGACTAACTGACCAAAGAAGAAATATCATAAAATATATTTAAGCTTAAAAGACCTCAAAGAGTTGAGAACCTTATTACTAGTTTCTGTACCCTAAAAAAACACATCAAAATCGGGACTCTGAAATCTATCAGTCAACCCATTAATTAAAAGATAGTGGAATTTGTACTGTTTCTTCTATTATATCAATCTCTGACGAAAAATAGTTCAGCAGACTTATGTGCCAATTATGAACATCTACAAAGTCTCAATTCTAATCCATAACCTGAACATCCCACATAATATAAATTAGAACAGTTTCACAAAACTCCAAAGGCAGGAAGAAATTATGGTTAAGCCAACACTATTATACACTGAATTTTAGTTTTGTTGTCAAAAAAAAACCTCAAGTTACATCATGATCTAAATTTCTCCTGATGTAAAAAATAACACCAAATGGTCATTCAACCATTGAGAATGCAAAAAATAAAAAATAAATTAAAATGTATAAAATACGTGTAAAAAGTTCTATACCTACTATTTGGGATAACACAATGGTAATTCCACTTTATTAATATATGCCCCATTTCAAGCGGACTTTGGAAGTTATAAAAAATACTCTGGTTTTTAAACTTGTCTAAAATCAGTCCCATTTGACCTCCTCAGCCTCTTTTTCTGTAGCTGTCAAATCAAATCACCCAAACCACCCCATGGTTCCTTTGAACCTTCACCCCTATAGCTCTTCCTGCTTGCAATACCTTTTGAAACTATGGAATACCTCTCCACCTATCCAAATCCTAGTGGTCTAGAAGACCCTGACCTAAGCTCACCATCTCCAAGAAATCTTCCCAGATACACAAACATAAGGAATTCTCCTTCTCTGACCTCTAATTATTTTAGTTTACTGATTACACTGGTTAATATTCAATTAACTATTTTACTGCATACTAATTATTTTAGTTTAATAATAAACTTCTGCCCCACTCCGTATCCCTCCTCCAACTACTGGCAGGTGAATTTTATTTCTACTTCAGAGAAATAAAAAGCCATCATTTAATAATTTCCTTCACTATTCTCTACCAAAGGCATTGTATCCTCCCTTTATTCCTTCCTCTTACAATAAAGGCACCCTCTTATTTAAAGCCACCACCACCTGTGCTTTGGATTGTTCATAACTATTTATTAGGCACCTACTACAGGCTGAACACTGTTCTAAGAGCTAGGCATACAGTAGTGACTAAGCCAGACAAAAAGAAATACATTGTAATACAGGAGACAAGCACATAAACAAACGTAACTTGAGGTAGTGACAAAGCTATGAAAACAAATTAAACAAGCGGATTTCAATTAGGAGGTGACATTTAATATAAGATCTGAACGAAGCCCAGGAGGGAGGGCTGGAGAATTTCCAGGCAAAAAGAACAGCGAAGTACCGAGACCCTGAGGACAGTGTGGCTAGAGTGAAACAAGCAAAGGGGATAAGCAGT